GCAAATTAAAATCGTGGGACTTTCAATGTAATGTGTAAAGTCAACATCGATTTTAAAGATAAGTTGTATATGAAAATGGGACTGGCTCCCTGCACATCCTCTTTTCATAGATACACTTATATACCGTCAGAAAGTAGAATATAGACTTATATTTAAATTTTATTATACGTTATAAGAGAGAACTAGGCCCTTCACTTTTACATAAAGAATCTCATCCCAAGGTCTATGTGATAGCTTGTCTGGAGCTTTGGGTCATACCACATGATCCTTATCTGCAAATGGAGATAGACAAGTTGTCAAATTCAGTTTTTTATGAGCAAGAGTGCTTGTTCATATTGGCTTTTCCAAAAAAAAAGTATTTAAAGCGCTCACAAAAAATAGAGATTTGATCTTAAAACTGGGCAAAGGTTGATGAAGACTAACCTTGTTTTACAATGGAAAAATATTAACTTTGAACCTCAAAATGTTCCAGTTAAGTATGTATTTTCTAGCATAACAACACATAACTGTCTCTCAACAGGTCATATGAGGCAGTGAAAGGCCTCCACTGTACATCACCATGTGGAGTGTGTGGGTGAGGTAAGGACTTATGTCACGGTGGGTATGTGAGAGGCACTCTGGATAAGAGCATCACTTTAACGTCTGATAATATAAGTGAAACGACAGTCAAAAGGGAGCTGCTGAGTTACAAAGTGGGGGCATTTTATAAGGTGTTTCAAAGAGTAGCAGAATGTATAGCCTCTCTGAACAAATCATCCAAATAAACGTCATACAACTGGAGGCGTGACAGGCTCTCAGTTTTCTCGCTCAAGATTTCAGGGATTCAGGGATGTAACCCTCTCAGGCTTCTACTAATTAAGGTTTAACTTCCTGGAAGCACTGATATAGCTCGTCTCTTTAGGTGTATAATCCAATAACCTGTATTTTCTTTCATAAAGTTTTGAAGCAATAATACGTTTTAGTGAAAAAGAAATAACAACTATTCAATTCAATTCAATTAAATTTTTTTTGTGTAGCGCCAATCCATAACAGAAGTTATCTCAAGACACTTTTCAAATAGAGCAGGTCTAGACCGAACTCCTTATAACATTATTTACAGTGACCCAACAATTCCAACTATACATGCATTTGTTGCAGCTGCTATCAAATGTGAACATGTTTTCAAGCAGTCTAAAAACTTTTAAGCTAATGGGTTTTTATATAATGATGATGATAGTGCTGCAACATGCAACAAGCAAATGCAACAAAATCAACATTTTAAGACTAGAACATTCAAATAGTTATATGCAATATAATATATTATATGCATTAATACTGCAACCCATGTCGAGCTATCCTAGTATGAGCTGGAGTGCTGCACAAGTGGAAACTTTGACCTGCTGGTGTTGTTAGATGAAAGGTCAGAGCGATCATTGAGGTAATCAGGAATCAGACTCTGGGGACCGTTAAGGTCTCGATGCCAAACATTCATGGCAACCTGTCCAAGCTTCGCAGTGTTTATAATGAAGCCTTAAAATGGAGAAGAGTCAACTTGACACCCCTTCTTCACACACGTCAGAGTCGTGAGAGTGATTTTTAGAGGTCTGAAGAAGTAAAAAACTGTCAGGAAATTACAGGAAATTCATAAGTGGCATTTAAGGCACTTACACAAGCAAATGCATTAGATAACTAAAATAAAAGTTACACGAGACATTCAGTTCAAAAGGTACATTCAGAGACATGTTGATGGGTTGACGTCACAGAGAGAGCATACGAGTCTGAAGCACAGCAGGAAAAGCAATTAGTCTGATCACTTTCCCCCTGCCTTCATAAGCTCTCTACCGCACACTGCAGTAACTGCAGTTAATTTACTGATATGTCACACACACACACACACACACACACACACACACACACACAAACACACACACACACACATGAATGCATGTGCAGTTGCCTGTCTGAGTCTTACATGGCCAACATGTGCAGGACGTAGCCAGATCATGTTGCGTTTTAACACCGTATACAATTACAGCACTAGTCAGGTGTCAGAACAAATTGTGTGTGTGTGCGTGTGTGTGTCCGTGTAGGTACGCATTTTTGTCTGTGCATGTTGTTTATGTGTTTGTCCACATAGTTAACCCTTATGAAAGCAGGCATGTTGACTTAAAACACCCCCGTTTAGCAGCAGTCTGACAGCCAGCAGGACAGAAGGTTTGCACGCGTAAACACGCTCACCTGTGGAGTAAGACTACGGACAAGATTCAGGCTCTCCCGCTGGAAACACACACAAATAAACACAGTGGCAGATGTCGTAAATAAGCACGTCTGATTTAAAGAACTGGCATGAGTGTAAGCTCAGAGTTCCTCCGTCCATGAATGCAAAACTGACCTCTCCGTTTACAGGGATCATGTCTCATAACATTTCCAAATAGGCCTGTCTTTTTCTTCTCATTTTGGTTCTTGCCTGTACCGGCTATTCTACGTCAGACTCCTCCGGTCAAAGATTCATGGATTCAGCTCAAGTTTTAATACGAATGTGAAAGCTCAGAAATGCTGAATGTCAAGTTTTAGTCTTTTGAATGTAAGAGAAGATTTAAGGGAAACACTGGCTGACAAAAAGTGTCAAAAAGAACCAAATTAATTGTTTGTTTAAAGCAAAAAACTCAAAGTCCGCTTAGCTACTAGCTCTTCCCAGAGCTTTATACTGTATCTTGAGATCTTCCTCCTCCAGGAATAGAGTTTACTCAGCTGTCATCACATGATCTGAATTTTACTCATGTGCAGCGGTTGGAAAGTATTATATTCAGTCACACAAGTATTGTATTTATTACTTTCTTCTGGTTTATATTTATACTCCACTACATCTATTTAACAGCTTTAGCTTCTTTGCAGATTCTGATTATTAATCCAAACTTTATCAAGAACTATCATTATAGATTATTATATGTAATTATTAATGTTATAGAAGCTACCCAGCAGTATACAAAGTAGTTTAAATTATGCAGATTTAATATATATTGTTCAATAGTATTTGTTACTTATAATGATAATTAAAGTATATTTTGTATTGTAAAAGTTGAGAAAAAGAGCTGAGTACTTCCACCGCTGCGGTTGTGAGACATAAGTCATAGGACCACCTGTTAACTAAGGTCACGTGATGACAGTTGAACCGTCGCCATGGCAACTGAGAAAACTCTATCCTACAAAGGAGGACTGCGAGAGATGCAGTTGAAAGGTCTTACTAGGTGGACCTTGAGTTATAAGAGTCTTTTGTTTCTTTAGTTATCAGGGAGAAAAAATCAGCGAGATCTTCCTTTAAAAAGAAGAAGTCTATTTTAGAGCTGACCTAAATATTACGTCTCTCTGACATCCACATTTTTTTTACCCAAATATACCCTGTCTGGATATCCCCTATTTTATACCAGCTGTGTTATTGTCTGATTTGTTATGCCAACCAGTTGAATGTTTATCTGATTGTCTCATTTATCAAATGAAGTGTGTCCCCTCGGCTGACGATGAAGACAGGAAATTGTAACTCTCTTCATTAAGGCGAGCGGTTGCTATTTATGTTGCGATGACAACTCTGCCTCTGCACCCAAGGGAGAGACCATCCCCAATATCTGCACTCAATAATGGATTCAGGTTTCTATTTATACTCCCTCTCACTCTCTCTTTCGCTCTCCTCTTTTCTCTCTGACTGTCACTTGGCCAGCTCTCATAATAATTATAGCTGTTGGCCATCATAAAAAAAAAAAAAAAAAAGGCTGTTACAGAAATAACCAAGGCCTCTGCAGATAGGCAGTTATTTGAGGGAGTGAGATGCGTGGGTAACTCTAACCATCCAGTTGTAGCAGGGTAGACTCAGATGTTTCTGTATCTCAGGAACTGGGCTACAGAAAGTGTATCAAATGTTGCCTTCAAGTTGAAAAGTTTTGCAATGCGGAGGGGGAGGTTACATTCAGTCATTAAAAACGTACAGATAGTGGGTCATTTATAGGCTGATTCCAGTATTTTTAGACCCATTCAGTCTGATATAATAAGTAATACTGGAAGCATGAGCAATTAAACCACCTGGTTATTTGGTAGGGAAAGACAACACACACAATGCACACAAACATTTTGGTTACGGTTAAGCAGTCTGGTTAATGTAAGTCTGTCGTCATGGTTACAGTCTCCTGGTTACATTAGGTTTGTCTCCCAGCATCTATGATCAGGCCCTTAATGGGAGCTAATATATTCCAGTTTGGTCCAGTCTTTCAGGCTAATACAATCTATGAATGATGAGCAGCGTCCTCTGCTGGTGTGAATCATCAACTACAGGAGGACTTGACTTTGACGTTTGGGGATTTGTTTTCTATGTTAAGATTTAAACATACAGAAGTCAGTGTTACTTTACATTCATTGTGAAAAAAGTGTCAGATAAATGTGAGACTAAACTTTAAGGGATCTGTTGAACATGTGATGATGGAGGACGAAAGAGAACAGTTAAAGGAAGAGGTGGCAGACAAACAATTACAGGGGTTCAAAGGGCTTTATTCAAATAGTTAAACAAAACAGGTTTAATATCCAGAATACAACTTCTTTATACACACTAAAGTAATTCAGTGTCACCACTTAAATAAATGCGTGGTTGCAAAATAAAACTTCAAATTTATTGATTCAGATAAACCTTACCTTTAAACATTATTTTGATGAGTTGTGTTGAGATAAATAACGTGGAAATTAATTAATTAAATATTTTTTATGAGAAGCCTAATGAACTTTAAAACTTTAACAATTATTAAGTAACTGGTTATTAAAAATACCTTTGTAGAGGTATAACTCAATGCAGTACATTTGTCTTTTGTTGTTGAGCCCAAACAATATTTTATAAACACTGTTAATGGTTTTAGGGTGTAAAGTCATGCTGTTACACACTCTGGTACAGTAGGTGGCGGTATTCACCTTCAACGTTGATTTGTAGACAGCAAAGGGAAGGAAGAGGAAGAGGAAGAGGAGGAAGAGGAGGAAGAAAAAAGTTTTGTTTACAGATTCACTCAAACATGGCCACCCTAGCAACCACTCATTGCTCGGTAGGTGTGAGAGAACTGTTTGCTGTATTTGTTCTTATATCGACATGTAACAGTTATTATTTGTCAGTCGATACATTTAAATTATCTGAAATGTTTTAATGTTCAGGGGAAGCGGACGACTGATTCGCTAATCAATGTGAGCTAACGTTAAGTTTGGGTGAAAGAAACCGTTTGCTAATGTTATGGCTTTGTTTCACATATGCTTGACAAAAGACATACTGTAGTTAATATGTACGTCCGTCATTAATTGGTGTAATTATTTTGCGCTGTTAGCCTTTTATTTTATAACTGCAGTAGTAGCTACTAGATGTCCGAAAATGGATGCTTCATGTGGTACTTGGTTACCCATGGTGCTGTGTTTCCAGATTGATGAAAGACCCAGTGTTCCATTATCGGACGCGTTGAGGAAGACCATTAAATATATGCATACCTGCACAACTGTTATTATATATTGCGCTATGATCAGCTTTTGTGTTTGTGCATTCATTAAATTAATTTGATCAGGAAGAGGGAGACTCTCTTGTCCAGCATCCCTGCACATCATCCCCGGTCAGCAGTGATCATGTGGACGACAGACTGGCCAGACAGAAAGCTGCACAGTTTCTCAGGGAGGCCGAGAAGAACAGGAGGCAGTAAGTGAAACTACCCAGGGTTATTTCATATTTCATTCAAAATCTTCAAACGCTTAACTTTCACTGTAGCGATACAGTGGGTGGCAGGAACGCCATACAATAAATGAAATCTATCACACACGTTATTACCTCAACCAACACAATGTACATTATTTATAAGCTTTGAAAGCCCAGTGTTTACAGCAGAACTAATGTATTGGATTGCATAATATTGTAAGGTCATTTTTAGCCTCAGTTATTTCACACACTTCTATTGTATGAGGAGTAAGTTAATTCTCCCTTACAGGATCAGCAATAGCAAGAATGCCACTGTAAATGAGACAATCAAAACTCATGTTATACTTTCACTTTCAGATTCAACGTAATAATAATTTGAAAACAGACAAGTATGGTATTATTCGTGCTGTATTAATGTAACCAATCACAAAACCACTGTAACACGTCAAAGAAGTACTTGAACTGTCTTCACCAGTCAATGTTGTGATCTGCCCATATAACTTTCCTCTTCTTTCTTCACAGGATAGAAAAGTTGGAGAAAGAGAGGACACTGAGTGTTCATTGCAGAAAGAATGGCTGGACAGATGTGACTGGAGAACTGGAAGAGCATGAGAAAGGGCTGGAGGAAGAAAGAAATACAGAAAGTGGGTTGTTCTTTGAGCTACAGTATCTTAACATTTCCCCTGTGCATTTTAATTTGACAGGGTGCCATGGGGTAGAAAATACTCTAGTTGAAACAGTCAACCTGTGTTAAAGGTGAACATCTGCCGTCAACACTTGACCATTTTGATAAAAACAGCTGTTCATAACATTCTTTGTATTTATTTTTAGAGATGAATCTTCAAAAGCAGCTCGTGAGGATTCATAATGGTGTACGGAAATTTCAGAGGCAGCTGATAGACGTGAAGCCAACTCCTGAGTGTAAGTTTTGTTTCTACCTTTAAAAAATATTTTATTCAGCCATCTTGTGAGACATTCAGTATTTTTATTTGTATCAATATTTGTGCCATTCTGCTACATCAATATAAAATATGCTATTGTAAAGTAGTGCACTGCTCAATAAAAGCATGGTTATTGTAGTGTCATAACTATGAACAATGGGAATAAGATTGTTTTAGGCCAGATTGTTAATACTTTCTCTACCTTTCTGCTTTTAGTGATTGAAAGACTGAAAGAAATAATGTCAGAGGTGGAAATCTCAATTAACACCCTAAAGGAGGATCAGCGGTCATGGTAACAGAATACACTAAACAACTTTATTAGACTTTGTATGTTCTTCTTAAAATGTTAGAGAACCTATACACACATACAACATTTAATATTATTTTCTTAGACAAAGCAAACAAGAAGTCAAGTAGGCAGCCAAGTAGGCAGGCAGATAACAGATTATGACAAATACTGATCAGTGTTTTCTCGACACTGGGAGTTAATGCGTGTAATAAAAATGTTATCAACAGTCAACTTTTGTGTTTCTTTGCTCCTCTCAGCTTTGAGGAACTTCTGAAGGAGGAGAGGGCATGCAGACAGGAGATCACTGCTTATGAGAAGAAGATTGAAAACTGGAACCTCGCTGTCAAATCCGACCCAAAACTACCCACAGCTCCCACTGTCAAGGTCTGTCTCTACTCAACTTCCTTTATTTGTTTTTGTTTAGTTCATCGTTCATGCAATTAAAAGAGAGTCTTTTTTGTTTGTGTGAGAACAAAATGCATCTAGAATTCTGACCCATGTAGTACTTTATTCATATATTTCCCATAAGACCAAACCTCTGGACAGAGACCTCCCTGCAGAGGTCAGAGCACTGGAGGCTTTCCTGCAAAAGACGGGAGGCCTTTATGGTGGCTGGGACCAATATGACCACCAAACCTTCCTTAAAGTAAGACATTGTCTTTCTCTCTCTTGTAATAACTTGTTTTAATAGAAAGTCATGTTTCTTTTGCCAACTTACACTTGCAGATCATTGCACACAGCCACTGAACACCACTCCTTGAACTAACACTCTTTAATGTTTTTTCCTCAGGCAAATGTCAAGCCAAAGATTGATTACCCGCAAGATTCCTGTCTGACTTACTGTAATCTGTTTGATTTACAGGTCTGGACAAAGCACAGTGGGCAATCATCTTACAGGAAGGAAGCCAAACTGTATTTGCCTGGTAAAACACTGGAGGATATAGAGCAACATGAGGACTGGCATCAGGAGCTGATTTACCTACAAGATAGAAAGAGAGAGGTAGAGAACTGCAACAAAACATGTACGCTCAATAGGAAACCTCATTTGGATCGGTAAATGGTACACAGTCCTCACCAAGCTCATCACAAGAAGTCTTTTTGACATCGCAAGATCACCTGACTGTGTATTTTTAAAGTGATTTGAATACAGATTGTGAATCCAGATATTTAGTTCTCAGAACTAATTTGTTCTAGTTAAATGTATACCTAAATTATGACTCAGAGAACACCTGCATCAGAAACACAGGGGCAGAGTCATCTTTATTCCACCAGGTTGCATGTACAACGTACAGTAGATCAGCCTCTACTATAAATTGATTGGTTTCTAATAGTATACCTACAGTGCTTGTACACTTTCACTTTATTAACCTCAATTAAAACTTTCTTTATTCTCTATAAACATGACATAGCCAAGAGCTCAGAAGGATCTTCTTTGGAAGCTGTGGTGCTGTCTTCTAAATGTTTTGTGGTTTCCATTTTTGCCACCTGTCTTCATACCACACACAGGCTATTCAGCGATGGAAAGCCAGCAAGCACCAGGAACGCCAGATCAGGATACAGAGTCAGGAGGATGCGGAGGAGGCAGGAAAGAGGGAGAAGGAGGCCAAGAGCCAGGCCCGCCAACACAGGTGAGTCAGAAATAGAGTCAAATGGAAAACAGAAAGACGAGGTGGAGAAGACATTGATTCTATGACTACCAGATCTGATGAGTGTTTGATTGGTCACGTTAAATAAAGGTGAATTTGGGGGATTTGTTTTCTCATAGTCTTCGTTATTGTCACTTTGGTGTCATGTTTGATTTAGTGTGTTCTATCCTCTTCTGTTTTAGGACTGAGGAGGAGAAGAGGGAGGCGGCCCGGCGATTAGAGGAGTGGAGGGAGGAGAAGAGAAGAATGGAGGAACAGGAAAAGGAGCAGAGACTGGCTGAGGAGATACAAAAGAGGAGATGGGAAAAGGTGCTGTTGTTGAATTTGTGTTTGTGTGGAAAGTAATTTTACTGTAGTTGTGGTTATGTACAATAACAAACGTACAGATCAACGGTTGGTGTAAACAGGTGTTATGGTTGGTGCAACAAATATTTACCCTTACCAATCTAAATGATTTCTATTCATCAGGAAGAGCGTCGCCGCCAGCTGGAAGTGAAGCTGACCATTGAGGAGCAGCTACGACTGCGGAGAGAGCAGGAGGAGGAGGAAAGGAGGAGAAGGATAGAGGAGGAAGAGAGGGAGATGGAGGAAAGGAGAAAGGAGGCAGCAAAGGGCATCAAACGCTTTAATGAAAGGGTACAACTCTCAGAGACACACCAACACCAGACTTCATGAAGTGAAGTGTAGTATAAAGGGTGCCTTGGTAGCTCACCCTGGTAGAGCTGGTGCCCCATGTCCTGCAGTGGCCATGGGTTCAATCTCTCTCTCTCTCTCTCTCTTTCTCCCCCTCTCTTTCTCCCCCTTTCCTGTCAATCTTAGGCTGTCTTATCTATTAAAGTCAAAAAATGGAGAAGTCACCATACTGTGTAGAATACAAAGCTTTATTCTGTCTTTCTCGTTGCAGGATCTTCACAAGGTGGAGGCAAAGCTTCAGGAGAAACAGCTGAGGGAAAAAGAGGAAGATGAAAAACAGAGGAGAATTGCTGCAAAGTTAAAGGAGAAGGTGAGGGGTTGAACCGTCAACAACTCAGTCATGTATCACAAGATCTCTCAAAATCATTAACACAAAGATGTGAATCTGAATCTTAAATAAATGAGGTTGTGGGTTTAGGAAAAGGTTAATGTTTATTTGTGGTTAATACAGGGGGATGGTCACATCAGTAGAGACCCCTCCAGGCTTACACGTCCCACTAAGGGATGGGAGGAGCGAATGAAACACATTGGACCTTCAGGAGGAGGGCCACTGCTACAGATGTTTCACAGGTCTGATTGTCCCTACTTGGGTTTCTATTAAGGAATGTTTTGGGTAATAATAGGTGATTGCTTGCTGAATCACTGAACTCTTCTGTTGCTTTGTTGCAGAGCTGTTCCCACTTGGAGACAAGGCCTGTGATGAGCAACAGTGGAAGCCAACTAAACAGTCCTGACATGATTAAAATTAAAATGTACACAATGGGAGCTCAACCAGATTTTATTTGACTACTGTGTGCTGCTGTCTGAGGTTTTGTACAATCCATGGATTAAATTAAAGTTTTATGAAATTGTTATTTTGAATAATAAAAAACTCAATCATTACATTACAGTTTTGTATACATTTCACAACTTCTTGTCTCTGGAGGTGTATTTTGCTTTGTTAAAATGGTTGACTGGTCACCGTCAGTGTTATTGGAAATCAGAATGAGAAATACTTTATTGATCTCCTCTATATATTCTACATATAGAATAGAAATGTATATATAGGTATGTACATATGAGTGGAAAATAAAAATGGAAATAGAAATATAACAAGAGTATAAGTATGTACCTTATATAATAATACAATATATGACAATATATAGACAGAAGAAAATGTATGCCACAGAATGAAATGAGTTATAGTAGTGATTTTTAAAGATTGCAGTATTACAGAAGTTACAAAGTATAATGTAATAAGCCAGAGTATTGCACATTGACCAGAGTATAAATTATATTCACAGCTTTCTAACAATATTTATTGAGGAACATCAATACATTTACCAAAAGTCACATCCAAAGAGACAATCTGTATAATATGTACGGGTTGTGTTTTCAACAGAGCTTCACTGTGCCTATAAACAAACTATAAATGGCGCCTATACATTGCGCTGTAGTGTAAGCTTTTATTTTGAAAAACAATAGTACCGGAAAAGATTCCTCATAGGTGCGGATGCAAAGATGGCGGAAGAGGAGAGCCAGTTTGAAGAATTTGACCAAATAGACTTTTTAAGGGATCGACATGTACGATTCTTCCAGAGGACACTTCAGGTGCTGCCTGAGAGATACGCCTCGCTGGAAACGACCAGGTACGTTAACTGGACTGAAAAGTGTTTCTCTGATTCATGTTTTGTTGGAAAGCCTTGACTAGCATCCAAGCTAACTGGGGCTCAACCGTTTTGAATGGAAGCTAGTGCTACTTAGCTTAGCGTGCTGGCTAGCCTCAGCAGTGAAGGGTTGTGAAGTTGTGACAGATTGGTTGTTGTAAAACGGGAAACTGGCGCTACAACGAGGCACGACGCCTTGTGGAACGTATTAGTCAATGTTAGTAGGTTACAGTATAAGAATAATCAAAGTGAACTTCATGTAAAATGGACTGTAAAGTTGTTCATTTGTCAACAACTACTGTGTCTCTAGTTGGATGGAGAACCAGCAGCTAGCTCTAACTAACTTAAGACTGATCAGGAGTTGTTAAAATATGGTTTTGAGTTGGGTTTTATCATCTAATGTAACTTCACTGCCACAGAGTGCCTTGTGTGTCTTTCAGTCTATTAATATTAGATTGGTTTAAAATGAATAATGTGTCTATCTGCCTTCTTTCCAGGTTAACTATCATCTTTTTTGCCCTGTCTGGTCTCGATGTGCTGGATGCTCTGGATGTGATTGATAGAAATGTAATGATTGAGTGGATCTACTCATTACAGGTTCTGCCTACAGAGGATCGTAAGTCTCATATCGTCTCACTTTTTCCACACCTGGCTGTAAATATGATTAGTTTAAACAGTTAATTATATATATATAAAAAAAAAAACAGGTTTGAAGTACAACTATTAATTGCTAAATATAATTATATAACAAAGGTTAACAGTGAAATCAAACGTTTGTTGTCAAAGCAAATAACTGCTTCATGAGTAAGTTGAATGAATCACCTCTGATGCACGGGGCTTCAGACAAACAGGTGTTATAATAAAATACTATACTACAGTATGTACAGTACAGTGCCTTACTGAACAAATAGCCTGTGTAAGAACATGTATGTCAGATTTCACTGGTGTTAACTGCTGCACTACGACTTATATCTGTAACAACTTTAATAACACGATCCCCCTGAGTCAAAAAGTAGAGCTGCTAAAGCCCCGTGGGAGCTTTATCGATCAAACAAAGCAATCATTATTTTGTCTTTGTTAATATAGCTATAGTTAATATAGGATTTTAGATTCTTTCAGAGTCTATGGACAGGAACTCCCAGTATTTCTGAAAAGACAGAAGAAAGAAGCAGTGTATGAGATCATACTTTTAGAAGTACAGAGGCTGGCTTAGAAAAGGTGCAGGATGCGGCACCCTGGTAGCTCACCTGGTAGAGTGAATGAAGGCTGAGTTCGTACTGCAACGGTCCGGGTTCGGTTCCCACCTGCAGCCCTTGCTGTGAGTCGTCCCCTCCTCTACATACTTTCCCGTCTCTCTTTAGGTACTCCTATCTAATAAAGGCAATAAAAGCCCCAAAAATAACTGAAAGAAAAGATGCAGGACTCAGGCTCATGCTCACACTCTGACATACAAGGTTTCTAATTACCAGGGCAGGGAGTTAAAGTGGGGTGGGTGGTGGTGTGTGAATGCTCACATCAAGAAAAACATAATCTTTCACTTGGAAATGACAGAAGCTGAAACACTTAAGTTAAATTATTCTATTAATGTTGTCGAATGTGTGTGTGTGTGTATGATGGTCTGTGGTTACATCAGGGTGGGAGAGAGGGAGGGCAACTAGGGCACTGCTGGATGAGGGGTTCAGGGCAAGTTTAGGTTACTACCAATATGTGTTTTTCTTAGAGCATACATTTCAGGAAAATCTTGTCAAGTTTGACCACTTCAGAGTTGTCAAACTTAAAAACTCTGTGAAATATTTATGTTATTTTTTTTAAACAGATATTGGCCTCCTCCTCACCTAACCTGTTCTGACTGTACCTCTGTTCCTCAGGAAGAGTCGGACTCTAAATATTTAATGGCTTGTTGTTTTGTGTCCCTTACAAGCCACTCTGTACCATCTGTTTAGATGCCCAGTTATTTAATTATTCATGACATCAACAAAAATCATGTCGGGAAAGCCACGCTTGATTGGTCTCATTTCTTTCCTGCTGCCATATGTTTGGTGTCTGGCTGGTTTCTTGTCGTTACATGTCAAAATACAGCTTGAGAGGCACTTGAGATATCCTAAGGTATCATTAGTATGAAAAAAACATTTTTTGTTTGAAGCTTTTAAGAGTTTACAGTCATTGATGGGTGTGTTGCTGCTGTCCAATTGAGTGCAAATGTGCTGAATGAATTCATCTGTATGGGTCTGAAATGTGTGTCTGCATCTGCTAGAAGACAACCATCCCTGATGTAGTTGTAAGTGCCATTTAACAAAATGAACATTAGTGTGCTGAAAATATATAATGTTTGAGACCTTTTCTGGTTGCATTGAATACATTTTAAAAGCACAAACTCAAGAATAAGAGACCATATGACTGCCTGTCATTGAGTGCAACATGATCACACTGTACAATAAGCCTGTTAGTCAAATCAGTCAGCAATGGAGATGTGTGTGACAATATTGTATGGTTGTTATATGTTCTAAGTGTCTCTGTAGCATAATGTTGGGTTCATTGTGTGCTATATTTAATGGTTTTTACTATGGCCAGTAGATGGCAGCAGTACACTTTTTTTTTTTTTTAGTTAGTTGAGCATCTTTGCTGCACCTTACTGAAGGTCATTACCAAGAATGAGACCAGGGTAGTGCTTTCTCGTTCTAGTTTCTCTTAATGGTTACCAATACCTAATGCAGAGTGTTTCTTAATCTCTATCTGCCCTTCCCCCTGTTATTCTCTTCCAGAATCTAACCTAAGTCGCTGTGGGTTTCGAGGATCATCACATATTGGAATTCCTTACAGCACTAAGGTATTTTTACCAAACTGTGTCTTGTCTGTAAAGCATCCCCTCCCCTTGCTTTAGTCTAAAGATATATTTTTGGGGTATTCATCGCTCTGATCTCGTATTTTCTCTAATTTCCCTTTTGCGTTAATCCTTCTCAAAATGTTTGGATTATTAAGCCAGTTCAATCATTGCACCGATCCGTTCTCTCACATCAGGGTGTCTGGGCCATTTCCAGTTTAATTAGCATCACCCCAGCAGCTGTAATATCAAGCCATTGTGATAGATGTATTTTTCACATTTGGCATTACTTCTCTATCCCCGTGGAGACATAGTTGTGGATGTAACGACATTGCCAACCGGAGTCATTTCCCCAAAAAGGTATTTTTTAGCTGTCTGTGGATGGCTAAGTACTTGATCTGTCTGGGCCTGTTATTGCTTTTAAACAGTTTTTCCCCCTCTAGTTGTTTGTTTTAATAACTGCTTTAATCTCTTGGTTTTTTTTGGTCATTCCACTGCAGTTGTATTGAATAATATCTCATTTTGATCTTTTCTTCAGGGACCAGGCGTGCTCCATCCATATGACAGTGGCCATGTAGCCATGACCTACACTGGGCTGTGCTCACTTCTAATCCTGGGAGACGACCTGAGCCGGGTTAATAAACAGGCCTGTCTGGCTGGTCTCAGAGCACTGCAGCTGGAGGATGGCAGGTCAGTACGCACACGCACACACACGCACACACACGCACACACACATGCACACACACATCTAAATTTGCACTGGCACTTTCACTCTGACTCATATACACCTGAGGTCATGTGAACTCTCTCGTCTTTGTGGCTTTCCGTGTCCATGTGTCCTTCCAGTTTCTACGCAGTGCCAGAAGGAAGTGAAAATGACATACGGTTTATCTACTGTGCAGCCAGTATCTGTTACATGCTGGATGACTGGTCAGGCATGGACATCCAAAAGGCCATTGAGTACATCAGAGGAAGTTTGGTGAGTAGATGTTAAAAATGTAGACTGAGACGTTAGACTGTGGGGTGTATATGAAGTTTTTACTGCGCCTCTTATGAATGAATATAATGAGACCTATATTCCGGACCGACAGACCCACCCCCTTAATGGTACATCCTCTGTTTGTGCACCATTCAAAGCAGTGCCTCTACACTTGAATGGGGAGAATAGGCCACCCACCTTCAGTAGGTGGCAGTCTGCCTAGAAATACTTCATTTATAATAAATGGGGGCGGTTGAGCAGTGCATCATGGTCTTAAAGTTGAGTTTTTTTCCACCCCACCAGGAGGAAAAACAACATGTTCCAAGTTTATGATGTGGCACTTGAGTGATATTTTTGTCAGATGTTACTCAACCCTTAGTTTAGCCTCAGTAGTTGTGATGTGGGGTCGACACATCAAAGTGGTCTGTGTGAGGTATTGTCTTCCCTCGGCATCTCCGTCTCTTGTACAACTCAAGTCCCCAGAGCACAGAGATTGTCCCATTCATCTCTTCAACTTCAGCTTATTTTAAGTCTGACATTTAACACAAGAGTGTTTCATTACATAATTTCTTCATTGTGCGCAGGGTGTGTCTCGCACACACACGCACACACACGCACACTAGAAAGGGAGAGGAAAAGCTGTGTTAATAAGTTAACAGATAACTGTAAATCATGTCTGAAAAGTATATTTATCCACTTGCCACATGTTGGTGGCTGGATTCCAAAAAACATCTTTGGCAACGCAAGTTAGTTGTTGGTGAATATAAGTATACAGAAACTAAAACAAAAACACCAGATGATAGGTGGTTTTGTATGGAAAAGCCCTGGAACAGTAGACAAGTTTACCAGCCACGCTGACGTTTCACTTGCATGCGGATGGCGCCAGGTTTCCATTTACTAACCATATTGTTATGGTTTGATCAGACCAGACACACAAGCAGACAAGGACTCAACCTTGTTAGATTTTCCCAAGTGACAGCCATCTGCTGTTGAACTTGTGTATTTTTGTAGGAACCACTGCCTATAATAGGTAGTCGTGTTGCTTCGAAACTTTTCAAAGTTTCAGTGAACGGATATAACCATGTCTCCAAGTGTAATCTCAAAACGGGGTCTTAGAGGATGCTCATTTTTAGCTGCTCTGTTCCATTAAAAGCTGGTTTAGCTGGTTTAGGCTGAAATACAGGTAAACCCCATTTGGGACTATTACCAGCTCTCGTGTAACATTTATTGTACTTAAATGACTGAAGCTCAAAGGTTGGAAATATGTTGTGACGCATCTCATTTGAACTGATCTGTAGTCTACAAAGTCGGTTAAAACCGCTGTGAGGGAATGTTGGTGTTTGTGGTGACATCTTTCCATTCAGTTTTAAATTATGACTCACAAATGGGCTTTTTTTTTTGTTTGGGCATTTGGCTTTATTTTGGATAGTGACAGTAGAGAGAAGCAGGAAAGGCAGGGTAGAGGATATCAGGAGATGATATACAGGAAAGGGCCTGGGCCTGAGATGGGTTCAGGATGAATAAATGAATGCAGTTTCTTTTTACATTTATCTCTTTCGTTAGCCTTTCTTGCCAGATGAAATAATGCCTGTAATTGCTTTTTCTTTGTTCTCTACACAGTCCTACGACAATGGGTTTGGCCAGGGAGCTGGACGAGAGTCACATGGTGAGTGCGATCTTCCTTTAATGGTTCATACTTACAGGGTATAGATAACAGAAATGTGAGTTTGAAAGCCGAATGCACATCAAGGGGATGGTTGCGTAGGTCAGAGAAGAAGAGTAAAAATGTACACACTTACACAACCCAGATTTAAGTCTGATTTATGAACATAATTTAGATTTTCATATTAGATCAAAACGTGTGTGGGTGTGTTGGCAGTGTCGTGGTAGAGGGCATGAAAGTGGCTGATGGGAGTAACTGGTTTAAAGGATTAGCCAATAAAATCTCTGTAGATGCATTGTCCTAATTAATCCCTCCCTCATGCAAATTAAACCTTATTATTCTGACACAAAAGCCTTCCTCCCACACACACACACACACACACACACACACACACACACACACACACACTTCAAAGCACTGCTTGGGACATATCTGTAGTTGCCTTTTTGACACGGTAAAGGTAGCATTTCCTGTTGAATCTATAGAATTAAAACTGCTTGAAGGGGCAGATCCTAGTTTGTCTTGGTAATTTCCCTTGCGATAAATTCAACTTCTATGATTACAGGCTTTCATTCATCTGTCTGAGGGCTGATTACACATCAGTAGAGATATACAGTAGATCCCCCATTACCCATCCACCCTTGAAGTATATGTGTTTGTTCAGCACCGAGACCTCCCACACTGTGTGCTTTAAATGTGCTAAGACTCTTGCACTGTTTTTGGAGATAACTGTGTTTGAGCCTCTGTGTAGTTCAATATGTGACACTTGGTATTACAGAAGCTGGGTGCCAGGGGAAGAAATTAACTTTCTCCTATGGTTTACGTTTTCAGCATTTGGCTTTTATCTTACTGCTTTCTCTATATTTCCAGTATTTCTTCTTCTTTTGGCCCCAACCTACTGTTAAGAGTCAGTGCTGTTGGGTTGCCCACAGTTGTGTTTGATCCAGATTAATATTTATCCCCTCTGATCTTCCCGTGCCTCCAGAAGATAGCGAGCTCGACATGGTTGATTGGAGGCGAGTGTAACACATCGTCAGATTTACACACCTGACCCACACACTTCACCCCACCTCTTCTTTGTTTTCTCCCCTCATACATGAGCACACACAAACACAGATAAGCGGCCAGGGATGGTGGGAATATTTAGAGAGGAGTTAAAGGCATAGTGATAAAGAAAGCAGTTGACAGTTGGGTTGTAGAAGGTGATGAATAGCTGCTACTTGTGGCTATACTGATAACAGCCTGTCATCAATCAGTGCACACACTCATGTTTGTATGACTCTAGCTGTAAAGACGATCTGCAGTCAGTCCCTGGCTAAAGAATCTTTATTCCACTCAAAAGTCTTACATTATTGTACAGAGAAGTATAAAAATGCAGCCGTTTTCCTCGCACACATTTCTGTGTATTCATACGAAACATAAGGTAGCGCCACATTGTGATAACTTCCAAGAAAAGGTGGAAAGTGAGAGTAGCAGCATGCTAATCAAATATTTGGCAGTAAATAGGCCCACACGCAGACACACCCTCTGTTTTTACTGCAGTGTCCTGTAATCATCTAGTTGTCAGTCATTAAAACATGTCTGCGTGAAACCACGGAAACTGCTTTTCAATTTGAATATATTGTCAGAAATTAGTAGTCTCATTTAATTCATGTGTGTTATGAGTTGCTCATATCTACTTCGTGTGTGTGTGTGTGTGTGTGTGTGTGTGTGTGTGTGTGTGTGTGTGTGTGTGTGTGTGTGTGTGTGTGTGTGTGTGTGTGTGTGTGTGTGTGTGTGTGGTGTGTGTGTGTGTGTGTGTGTGTCGCACACTCCTGTCTGTGTGTCCAGGTGGCTGGACGTACTGCGCCATAGCCTCGCTGTGTCTGATGGGTCGACTGGAGGAGGCGCTGAGTCAGCGGGAGCTGGACAGGATCCGACGCTGGTGTATCATGAGGCAGCAGACCGGCTTCCACGGGCGCCCTAACAAACCTGTAGACACATGCTACTCCTTTTGGGTGGGAGCTACGCTAGAGGTACAGACGGGTGTAACAGTCACAGTCCTGCGTGCATTTACATGTTTAGTGCATTTAAGCATTTAAGTTTGCAATGGAAGAAGATAAAACAGAAGTTTTGAAGAGTGCCTTTTTAAAAATAATACTGTATGTACTCGAACTGCCTGAACAACTGACTTAATCCCCCCAAAAAAAAAGTGAGCAAACTATTCAGCATTTGGGTCATGACTGTGCCAGAGGTACATACATGCATACAAATGATCCAAAAAACTGTGGATCAGCTATGAGTAAGCCAGGGATATATACATACACACACACACACACACACACACACACACACACAAGCAAACACAATGTATGAAAACTGTGAATTTCTGGGTCAAAAGTAGGACACTGGGATAAATGCACACACTCAGACAATATATCTGAATATGGCAAACATCGAGGCTCCTGTATAGAAAGAGAATAGCAAGTGTTTGATCATTAATTTCAGTGACCTTTGTGGAATGAAATGCAATGATACGAGCCTTGTTTCACTCTCTCTTCTGAAAATGTGTTTTAAACTTTACAACTGGTTGAAAATAATTTAATTTATATTAGATATATATGTTTAGTTTTTATATTTGTTCCCAAATGATAAAGCTTCTTCCCTCGTTCCTCTCCTTTTCTCCCCCACTCCTCCCCTCGTACCCTCTCTCCTGTCCCAGCTGTTAGACGTGTTTCAGTATACAAACTTTGAGAAGAACAGGAGCTTCATCCTCTCCACGCAGGACCGGCTGGTGGGGGGATTCGCCAAATGGCCGGACAGCCATCCAGGTAAATGATCTGACTGTTAGAAGTGGCGTGTGGGATGACTAAAAGACACGACCTGAAAGCTAATTACAGAAGACTGCTGTGGTTGTTTATATTGGTCTTGAGTTTTTCTGGGGGTTTTTTTGTATCCGCAGGCAGATTTCTGTCAAAGTGACGCAAATCCCATGTACCTTTTTTATATTGCTGTAAAAGCCACAGGAGTGGAGAGGTGGAGTGGGGTTGAATGGCGTGTTTAATGGCCATGTGGTGGAAACGAACAGAGCTCAAATAGACTATGTAGAGGTTGCTGTTCATCTTATTGTTGCTGTTTATTTATCAGTAGCTTCAAAGATCTCAAGGACAAAAAGATGATGAAACTAAGCAATTTCTTTTCCCCTCTATCTGACTTTCGGCTGAACAGTTTCCACCCTGCCCTCCACAGGTGCAGAGAGGTCAGGGTGGAGTTGTGGTTGGCAGTTTTTACTTGAGTTCAATGGAAAAGCTCTTGTAACCCTAACCTTCAATGGTGCACATGCTTGTGTGCGTGTGTGTCTCACTGGCCCTTGTAATGTGTAATTGATGAGGCGATTGTTCGTTGGTAGCCTCAGGACACAGGAGATCGAGCTCCTCACGTTACAGGAACAAGGCAGGGAAGATAGGCTGCAAGAAACAATGCGGCAAAACAGATGCTGTATTGACAAAACCTCTTAAATATTTCTGAACAAAAGAGAGTTTTAGGAAATAAAAGGGACTCTTTTGCAGTATGGGTGCTGATAGCATTGGACTTTGCATTACTTGAACAGTGCTGTCATGCTCGGCTACTGATGTCCAGGAGCTGGTCTGGGAAGATAGGAGGCAACAATGACATAGAACAAAAGAGGGTGGTTTGTATTTGTCAAGCAGATCTGGTCCAAATATACTTTAAACATTTGACACAATGTGTTTCTGTCCACAGTTGCTCTTTAAGAAAGAGTTTAGGTCATCAGCATCAGTTTTCATGTTGGGAACAGTTGGTATCGTGTAGAGACAGGGTGGTTTAAAATTTCAATAAAAGCATCTGTTGACATGAACCTAAGAAACAGATCCACAGCTATTTTGATTGTCTGACTTCATGGCTATAAAAATGGCTGAACAGATGCTCAACTGATGGACCACAGAATACTATAAGAATTAGCTGTTAATGTTGCTCTTGTAAAGAGTCATGTATTAATTTGTTTGAAAGGTTTCTATGGTGAAAATCCATTCTTAGATTGGGGCATTATGATTAGCAACCAATGCCGCGTGCACAACTTACGTCTCTGTTCTGGCAGGCCGCAGCCTGCTGAAGAGCACAGCGGAGCTCCTTGCATGACGGAATTAGCCAGAACCGCCAAGAAATTAGCAAAGCCAAGGCCTTGCTGTATCCAAGTATCTCTTCCTTTTATAACCCCAACAGTCATTGTGACTAAATTGCTTGAAATCATCCAACAATTGTAGATTTCATGTGCTCATGATACATATTGGAGGTGGAGGGAATGCTTTAAAGTGATTATAATTGATATTTTTATATCAAACGGAAGAACTATGGAAATTAACTAAACTAATAGTGATGAATTAACTGATGATTAGCACCTGAATGTGCAGCTCCCCTCTGCTTTATGGTGACTTTCAGCTCATTGTTTAACAGTCACTCTTGCTGCTGTAATAGAGTAGTTTTTTTGGCTGCTGCTGTTGTTTTCAGCCAAAACATTCTAATAAGAGATCACTTACATTTGTCCAGATGAATGATAATGTTGTTCCTTAATTGCTCGATGTGTAAAGCAACTGTTTGCTTCCAAGTTCACCCTAATAACTTGAAATGAATGTCAGTGTTGCCTTAACTGACCCAGAGTGGCTACAAAATCAGTTATTGCAGGATTAAAGAAAAAATGGCAGATTACATTATAAGTATCAGTAGCATTACAAACATGAACTATAATTGTCCAGTTTAAGTTTGGAAACATGTCTGTTATATGAGCGCACTGGGTCATCACGCCGCTCTATCGGAATGATAATTCAATATTGTTATTTACCGACTTACCTTGTTAATGTTCTGCAAATTTCTGTTGTCCAAATTAATTGTATTGAACTAGCTGCAGTCCAAAACACAAACGTGCCTCGTGTGTCATTTTGTATCCAATTGCCATACATCACAGTTTGTGATATAAATCTAAATAGAAAAATATCCTTTTTAAATCAAATCTCGCCTCAAACATCGGACTAATTCAGATGTATTCTGTGCAGCCTTAAGTCTGAGCCCTCTGAATCCTGATTGATGCAGCTAATGGTGCTTTGATTGATTCTGATGTCTGTGTCCAATGATCTGTCATTTCATTATAATTCAATTACCGCTCCATTTACTGGCCTGTGGAGCTTTTACTTTGGTCCCAGGGGAGGGAAAGGGTCATGGGGCCAACCTATGTGCATAATTTATATCTTCTTAAAGGAGCAGCACAACAAAAACAATGCTTCTGCACAATGGTGATTTTATATGAAATTAGGTTATTGTTTTATTTATTGAGTAATGGAGAGTGAGGTGACAAACACCATCATCGTCTTATCTCTGATCATGCCTACAGACCTGTCACACACAGGTGCTTCTGCTGTGATACACGTTAACCATCTCTGACCCAGTTTCTCCCTTTTTTCCCCCTCCTTTTCATCCCTCACTGTGCCCCCATTTCTCTCCATTCCCTGTCCACCAGACCCTCTCCATGCCTACTTAGGGCTGTGCGGTCTGTCTCTGATCGGAGAGCCCAGTCTGAGGAAGGTCCACCCAGCTCTTAACATCACCCAGAGAGCCTTTCAGCACCTCCAGCAGCTGCAGCAGACATGGAGGGACAGCACCGGCAGCTGCAGCAGACAGCATTGACAGAAGGATGATCCACGGCTCTGTCTCTGAACAGGTTCGGTAATCAGGAACATCCTACAGTAGTCAGTCGAAAGGCAACTGGACTTTTTGCTGTGTGTCTTGAAGATGTTTGGCCCCTCGTCTGAGAGGCCTCCTCATTTCAGGAATCAGGAAGGTTTTTCTCCGGTTACACACTAGTAACTCCGGGGAGCTCATTTTAAGTCCATCTAAAGCGACCTTTCTGTTGAGCAATATACGCCACACCTTTTTTTTGCTGCCTTTTTATTAGTAGACGATAGTAAATAATAATGTGCATTGTGTTTTGTGGGTTAAAATTATGTGCCAGAAAGTCAAATTTAAGTCACTGGAGACTTGAAGAAATTCCAGGTGCCTTTGCACTGAAGTTTTTGAAGCTTCCTGCTCCTTAGCCTCATCATCATAGTCAACAACACAATCAGCTGTAAGCCTTCTAGCCAAGGATGAACGCTACTGGTTCACTTCACATGGATATAAGAAACTTCCTCAAAGTAAATATTATTCGCAGTCTGAGAGGGAACCCTGAGGAGGGCTTAGGGAACATCTAAACTGTCTGTTTAAATTGTTCTGGAGTAACTGCCGGCTTCAGTAGTTGAAGGTTTTTGAGTGAGTTGATCTAATTGTATGTGATACTACTATGAATGCTTTTCTATTGTTGAATAGTATAGGCCCAGTGGTAAATTTGAGGGGGAACAAAGTCATATGTTTCCTTTAGATTAACATCCCTACATTCTCAGACTAAAACCACTCCAGAGACACTATCCTCCCTGTATAGTAGTTTTTGCTTCTCCCTCCTAACATCTCCATCGGTGCGTTGCTCTTGAACCTCTTCAAAGCCTCAAGCTCCCCAGTCCCAAAGGTGGTACTGGCCTGGCAGGTAAACTCTCCCGTGTCTCTCACTTCAACTCACTTCAGTTTCACCACTGCAGGCTTTTTTGGTTTTTTTTGTCAGTGATCAAGAGAGATTTAAAAGATAATAGAACTGCTAAAAACCACCTTAAGGGGCAAATCTAGGAGTTATTTATCCTAGAAAGAGGATTTTTAAAAAAAAAATCAGTTTAGCTACAGGCCTTATCATTGCAGATCACAGAAAATCTAATTTATAGTTCACATTCTTCCTGAGGCCAACAGAAAAAAAGATAGATAATTTGGTAAGAGGGAGAAAATCCCTGCTTCCCTTCAAGGTTGTAGCTGTCAATTTTAGCAGAAGATCCCATCCCGACATCCCCCCCGACTCCTGAACCTTGAACTGATCTGAGCTCCCATCCCTCACTAGCTTCCTTACCCCTGCAAGGCACCAGCCAGTTTATAATCAATAGGAGGAAGAAGAGACTTGGGGAAATGTATTCTTTTGAACGGCACTGGTTATTAGCTTATTTTCAGAACAGCAAACAAAGAACAATGCACATGAGCGGTGTGTGCCACCGAGAGTCAGGTTGCGGAAACGACTATTATCCAACCTGCTAGTCGCTTCCCATTGAGTCCTAAAACATTGACCTCCAACAAAACTTGACCAAGGTTTGCACCACTGGACTCTCTCACTGGAAGTGCTACACATTGTCTGCACAGATGCTCACAGGTATTAATAGCCACTGCAGCTCATACACGCCACCTTCCAGACTTCCTGCCCTTGAGCTAAGCTACACATTACACATTTCTAGTTTTAAACCCTTATAAAAACTTGACATGGTGACACAGAGGTACTGAAATTCTGAGTTGTGCTCAACCTCTTGCCTTCTCATCACATCAATGCTCTTGACTCCCAGCAAGCAACATTCCCCCCTGCTGAAGCCACACCCTTTCAGTATAAGATCGCTGTCCCGGCAAACACCTGCTCCCTGTTATGACTAGGGAGGAGGAGACAATATCACAGCAAGTCAGAAATACAGTGGCCTGTCTGCAACACGTTGCCTGTGGGAGTCTGCTGTGAGTATATAAAAGAAATATCCCCTCTGTGGTTTTCCTTCCCGCCATCTAAAATGGAGCTGTACCTGGCCTCACCGCCCCTTTCCCGCCAAGTTGCCCTCATTTTCAGACTTGGAAAGCAGAGCAGGCAGACAGAGGAAAGGAGAGAAGCGGGGAGGAGAGGTGAATAAATAAATAATTTGACCCATCCATTATTAAACATAAACTGTCGGAGGCTGGAATCTCCTCTTTGAACCCAAACTCTCAGTGTTATATACCCTTGTTTGGTGCAAAAAACGTTGCTTTTTAGCCTACCACATCCTATATTGCTGTATAGTTTTCTTACTATTCGCCTAAGACGATGAGCTTTGCTACAGTTACTCTTGCTGATCTTGTCGATTCCTTTTCTGAGAACATTTTGTGAAATATTTTTTAATAATTTCACCTTTTAGAAAAGATATGTCAGCTATGACTTTCATTGCTGCTGCTGAATTGAGCCTCACACACACAAATCATGTGATAATACAAGCTCAACAAGATGAGCTTGTATTATTCATCATATAGTATTTCTGGTATCAACCTTTGTTGTTTCTTAGTCATGAGATGTCTGAAGTAAATTGCATTGAAATAGTTTCCCATGCATCTTCTGAAGTGACTTTTACTACTTATACAACCTCCATTGACTGGGTTCTGTCCTTAGCATACGTAGGCCAAGTCACATAGTAAAAATGCTCTAACTTGACTCTGAAATGTGCCTCACATAAGCATTGTTCTGTGTCACGGCTCTCTGAATGCTCTCCACGTGTACAGCATGCTTTAATTGGGCTTAGCTTGGCTGTTTCAATCAATAAAGGCACAGGATATAAGCGTTTTCTTGAAGGGGGAAGGAGGAAAGGTGTATCCTAAGTCCTTGTAAACATTCAGGGTGGCACTCCTGCTCTGTAAACAATTTTTCCTCCCTCTCATCTTTGTAGAGTTCACTTATCCGATCAAACATAAGCCTACCGGTAGAGGTCGTTTTACCAGAATCTGGCTTTGTCCCTTCATGTCTGGTCAATAATGTATTTCCAGAAAAGAGGGGAAGAATTCATTAAGACAGAACCCATAAATGCTTACTCGACTTTAAAAAAGGGTGAAGGATTGGATGGATGCATCTGCCACTTACTGCGGGGCGAAGGCTGCACCATAGCAGTTGTTACATTACGTCTCCTTTTTTTTTGCCACATCACGCTGCAGTCGATGCTCTCAGTCCCACAGCATGAAAAGAGAGGGACAAGGCTTTGCTTCTAAGACGGCTGCAGTGAAAGCTGCGTTCGGATGTGAAAGAGACTGTCTTATGAGATGCGGCCAAAATGTCAAACGCAGTCAATGTTGAACCCTTGCCCTGTCGTCAACTAATATACATACTGTAATAATAAATAATGTAACAATAAATGTAATGGAATTTATTTTTTCTATGCTTTGTAGAAATATTGAGTGTAGATAAATATGTAAATGTCTATAAATATGTGACTTCAACTGTGCAAGTGCTCAAGATGAAAAAAAATGTTTACAGCCACATCAGTGAGACGGTTAGAGGAATTGGATATGCAAATGTTGATATGTGATGTATTATAGTACTTCAGCTTTGAACTTGAGGACAGTAATGTTGATTCTAGCTTGGCGGTGCATACTGTATTTATGGTGAATAAAAACACGTACTAACTTTTACAATTGGATTAGTTTCACTGTTTTGAGCGTGTGACCTCAGGATTGCTTTGGGTATCAAGACTTAAAGTCGAAAGGCTGCGTGGTCGTTAAACTCGAAAGCATTTTACCCCCTCTGGAGCATGAACGTGCTCATAAAATGTAACGGCAGTGCACTTATTAGTTTGTGATGTCTTGTGGAAAGTTGACATTTCGTCCTAAAGGGGGTGCTAAGAGAAGGTTTACCTCTGGGGATCACAAACGTTCTCAGTTAACAAACTGGTCCTGATGAATCTTGTTATAAATGGATGATGTGTCCTGGTGGTGGCCCTAGAAGGAAAGGTCATTGAGTCACCAAAAACATTAAGATTTATCATCAAGGGACAATCAAGATCCGAAGCAAAATTGCAAGAAATCAAACCATTAATTGTTTGTCATGAACCAAAGTTTTGGGATAAATAGTGGCCTGATGGTGTTGCTCAACAAAAGTTAATGAGGTCAGCAAAATCTCTCAAGAAAGCGTCACAACCAAAACCATAATCTTAATCCAGATCCACGGCCTTTCCACATTTATTAGGTGTGCTGCTAAAAATAATCAAAGGGGACCAAAAATCCTCACGCTCCATGTAGTCCAACCTCTGGGTAACATTAACATCTTTATAAAATGTAATGTTTAATAGCCAGTAGTTATTGAATTGTGAACTGTGGACAAGAAGAGAGCCACTGACAGCCACCATTTTGAGACAATCAGATCTCAGTCTGTTCACACATTGCATCCAAACGTGTAATGACACTGGTGTGATGGAAAAAAGAAAGATAACCTCATTGACCCATAAGATCCAGATCAGTCTCTGGCACCATTACTACCCAACTGGAATTTACAGCTGCTGTTCACTCATTAGTTTTGAGTTTTGATAACTAATCGGACCAGAAGCAGAAGCAGACATTGTTACCACTAGTTGGGAATGAGATACTACATCCATCTCTAACATGTCTGTCCTGGGTCAAATAGGGGGTGCTTTTTATTCCAATAAGTGTGCGTTATGTCTCAATGTCTTTCCAGCTTGAGTGTGGTTTTACTCTCCCGCTCCCATTCAAGATGTGAGTAGCTAAAGGCGAAAGTCATTTTTCTTCTTCTTTTTCTTTCTCATTTGGGTATCATATCATTACCTCCAATAGCTGAGTTTCTCTATAAAAGACCAAGTCCTTGTTTCCTTTTACAGTACTCTCTGTGTGGCCAAATGACTCAGAACTGTTCTCGCTTTATTTTTAACATCAAAGATAACAACTGGTCAGCGTTTCTCTTAATAGCCTTTCATTTTCTGCATCGTGGATCAGTTGTAACTCCAGAGTAACACAGTCTGATGTTTTTTTTTCCTGTTCTTTGCTAGGTCAGTGACTAAGGCACAATTAAAAGCCTTGGGCAGGGGCGCTTCACTGGATACAGGGCACACATGCAAACACACATATAGAGTCCCACCTGGGAGTTGCATAGCACAGTCAGAGACTTCACTGTTGGCAGTGATAACGTAATTCAATCCAGACAAATGTGGCCTAGATGCACTTAAATATCCAATCTGGATGTAGAGGGTGATGAAAAATTAAAACAGCGCTTGATCACACATTTAATGATTCTTCAAATTGAGGAAGCAGTTAAGAAAAAAAGGAAATGTATTTTCCTCCCCGGTGTATACAGCCCAACCCAGATTCAAATTGTCTGGAGATGCTCCCTTGACAGCCAGCTGTAGTTTGGGTGTGGTCCTCCTGTTCAACAGACAACGTATACCTGTGTGGCAGCAGACTTCTCTGTGAGACGTGTAACCTTATATTGGAGTGGAAGAAAACGTAAAAAGCGAAGTTAAAATCTGGTTTGGTAGACTTTGATGAGTTCCTTTTATTTGTCATGCACAGGCAAACCCAAGAAAGAAGAGAACTTGATCTTCCATACTCTGTTGTTTTGATGTTTATGGAGCCGAGCTGTTGCTACCACACAAGTATACAAATACAGCATGTTTACTGCTTTGAATCATGTGATATGAATGACTCATGTTTAATGATCTGCAGGCCCTTAGGGTGACCTTATATGTGCTTATGCAACAGTGGCTTTCTCTGTAGTTATTTAACTTGAATCAATCCTACTTAGTAAAACACACTAATCGATGCGTTTTATTGATTATTCGGTCTAGCAGAGAGCAGTGTGGCTCAGTTATGTGGCTTTCTATGGCGCAATCGAATGTCCTCTCAGATAACATGAACTGGATGCACTGGAGTCATCTTTGCCCCGAGAGTCTCTTGAAATGGTCACTAGACTGAAGATGCTGCACTTGACCAGTGAGCATAATTGGTACATCTTTGTAATGAGGCTCCCTTTATACATGGTTTATAAGTTGTAACTAATGCCTTTTATAAACAGTTAATAGTTCATCTTTTAATGCTTGTAGATCAGTTTTAAGTTAACATGTTTATTGTTCATGAACTTTGGTACAAATGACTTTGGTGATGTCCTTACTTTTCCTCCAGTAGTGCCACCACAGGTAACACTATTTTGGTTTTGGAGTGACATTTCTCAACTATCGGATGGGTTGCTATGAAATTCAATGCCGACATTCATGTTTCCCTCCGGCTGAACTGTAACCTTGGTAATCCCTTAATTTTTTTCCCTTAAACTTTAGATTTGTCCAACATTTGGTTCATACTGCCTTGCCTGTACTTCTGCGTTAAGTGCTGACGCTCCACACGAAGATGGTGAACATGGTGAACATCAGCGTGTTAGCATTGGCATTGTGAGCCTGGATTAGAGTTTCGCTCAAAGCCTCACAGCATGCAGACTCATAGTGCTGTCCACAACCTGGCAACCCACATTGTTCTTAATGATGGCTTAAAGCTGATCTATAAAGCATTAGTGAAACATTTAAAGCCTTGTGTTACAACTCATGGCTCAAGTGTGGCACCTTTTACAACCAATGTCCTATTAGAAAGTGAAATGTTGTTAATTTTAATCCTAATTTCAAGGGAATAATTTGCATTTTAAGATTTTCCACCTCATCTTAAAGAGAACATCTTTTCCCAAATGACACCACGTTGCTCTGTTGCAGTAAACAGTGATTATCTCTGTGGTTTTTTTTCTTTTTTTTTTTTTTTTTTTTTGGAAACAGTGGTCAGTTAGTGGATGAGTTATTAGTTTTGTCATGCACCGTTTGCCCCGTCAGGGCAGTCTGCCCGCTTGCCCCCCCTCCTTCCACCCCTCCACATGCTCAATGGGGTGGAATATGTCTGCATGAAGCCGTGAGGCCATCTGGTGACGCGGAACAAGTGGCATTGCCAGAAAAATTAAAAACACGAACTTAATCCGGCCCCACACAGTCGCCTCACATTCCGGCTCATGCGTGAAACGGGTCTCTTATTTGAATCTGACACGAACAGGAGGCGTTGGGGAGGGGGGCAAAAAAAAAAAAAAAAACCCTTCAGTGACAGAAACCAAAACCACTATGAGACCCAAAAGAGCCGCAGTCACATATTTGGGTCGCTGTGAGCAGAAATCAGCCCTTATAAAGCAACATACGCACACAAGAGCGCGCCGCCGGCCATGCGTAAATGCCCAACTTCACTGAACGCTGAGAGATTTACGACCCCCATCCTCGCCCCCTCCTTTTAATCTTCAGACTCAGATTATTATATGATTATTGCTAGTGACTGATGGATAATAATAATAATAAAAAAACGGGTTGATTAATGACAGAGCAGGAGGATACAAAGAGCTCTGTGAGTCGAGACATCGCCGCTGAGGGGATGATGTAGAGAGAGGGAGAGAGAGGAGGGAGATGGTACAGTATGGAGAGAGACGAGGGCGGGGTTTTCCCTCCAAGATGAGGCAAACTAAAAGAAGAAAATTGGCTTTCTTGCAGCCGGCGCATGTACTGTAGACTCCCTGCACAGAGAGAGAGAGGGAGAGGGTGGGAGGATGATGATGGAGGTCTGAGGAGCGGCTCTTCTCTCTTGATGCTATCTCGCCTCCCCCGTGAAGCTGCGGAGCGTTTGATCCTGTTCCTTTAAGCCGCAGCTGCTTGTTTGTGTGTGTGTGTGTGTGTGTTTGTGTGTGTGTGTTTTTCTACATTTTAATATCCCCATCTTTGCTGCTGGCCGGTCTATCTACTGTACATCCATCACCATCTGTAGCCATGTCGGACTCTGAGGACATGACGGAGTTCGCCAGCATCGTGGAGCGGATCGAGCGGGGCGAGGTGAGTCTCATCCGGATGATTTACGGTCCTTCTGACAGCCGCGATCTGTCTGTCAACGTGCACCGACAGCAGCAGCCAGCCAGCCAGCACCGAGCCAGCCAGCACCGGGCCGGCCTGCAGGGCTGCCGGGGGGATTGGAGAGAGATGCTGACAAACCCAGACCACTACCTAATCTATTCTAGTCTACTCTATTTTAATCATATTAGTGCAAAAACTCTTTATTCATACTAGCTTACTCTAAAATTATAAATTAGATATATTCTAATATTAGTCTCTATGTTCTGATTCACCAGACCCAAACCTATTTCTGTAACACGATTTCAGGTGTGTACCTGCTGTTCTAATCATATTAATACTAAACCTGCTCATTTCCATTCTAGTGACCTTTTATATGTAGCTAATGTTAATCTATTATATACTGTTGTATTCCTGTAAAATATGTCATGTGTGTCTCTACTACTCTAATCATATTAATGCCAAATGCAGTTAAAAAATATGGCTATATAATCTTTTATATTTGAACCAGCTTTGCTATAAGCAGTGATATACCACCATAACTCTATACTGTAAGACGATCTGAGGTATTAAGATATACAATAACCTATACAAACCCGTGCATTCTCTATTGTATTTCATTGTAATCTATTCTGTGTCAAGGCTTCCTGGCTTTAAGGCATAGGCTTCTCTTCTATTCTTAGAAAAAAGAAAACCCAGAACATAAAGAGTTTAATTAGAAGCATCAGTCGCTGAGTGTAATGGTTGGATAGGGCTGCAGGCATATCACAGACTCCTGTCAATATGTGGGACACTTGGCAGCAGCTGTGTGTGGTGAGACGGAGCACCGGGTTACTGGGGTGTGTATGTGTCTGCATAGGGAGGAGGGAGGGTCTTTACCCATCTCACCCTTTTCAGGCTGACAAAATGTGTTGAAATGAATCTCTTCTGCTCACACAATCTCTGACACCCATCCATGCATGCAAGCTGTGCGTGTATGTGTTTTGTGTGTCGGATAAAAATAACCGTAAAGGCGACTGACTCAGTGGCCAGTTGCTGAATTCAGTGATATTTTAAATTTTAATCAGGCCTGTCTGGCACAATGAGCAACAGGGTGAACTCTTGTCTCTGTAGTGTCAGATCAAAGAGAATAAACACAGTGTATATATAAGAGTAGTACTATTGTGATAGGTTGTTGGGTCTCTTTATGTACTTATGGTACAACAAGAGACTGTACAGACAGTGTGTGCCCTTCAGTATCCTTTTTGATCACACAGTCCAGCATTATAAAAGGTGAATATAGTGAATATAATGTGAGACTAAAGGCTTCTAACAGCTGTGTGAAATAGTAAAATATATTCATTGGATTTGGTCCAGGGTTACACAGTCCATGGAAATGCACTAAATATCATATAAGCATTAAATATATGTTCATTTTCATAGTTCCCCTTTATAATGTTTTGTTGCATGTCCGGAAAATCCACATGTAGGTGAATATGTGATGAAAATTTAAGAAACCTTTCGGTCTGAGATTGGGAGTAGATCACATGCTTTTAAAATGATGCAACCATTTGGATGTTTAGCACATATCCTCTCCCCTGAATTCTGCCTCCCCAGGGTCCTCTAGGTCCCTACAGGCTGCACCAACATAATGAACTGCTGAAAAACTGTGACAGAAAATAGATATTAGAAACCTCTGTTACCTCCTGTGAAACTGATCCTGTGGAGCTGAAACTGCCTGTATGGATTGCTGCTAACAGATGCTGTTGGAAAAGTAAATATCTGCAGTGTCATCAGTGACCGTGCACATGCACTTTGGCCAGAGGACGAAGGAAAACATTTCATCTACTTCATCCTGCGCTGTTTCTTCCTAAAGAAATTACAGCTCCCTCCCGAAAGCTGTTATATGGTCCGTTTTGTTCTTTGACCAAGACGTTGTTAGGCTGACCTCCTAGAGGGCCCAATGTGCAATAAAATGAACTGTAAACCCGCTGCGGCAAGCAATTAACAGATCATAAATCTCCTGGAATAATGGGAGGGACCCTGACATTAGTAGAGACTGTAAACTGAATAGGAATGATAGCTTACACAAGTCCCTTTTATAAAGTATAGAAGCCTTCTGAGGACTGAATTCAGTAGCCCACAGTCAGTCAGGAGACACTGTAAACTTAATGGTCTATCATATTTCATATAAATGTTTCACAAGAAAGGGTGTGGAACTTGTTTTAAATTTAGATTTTAAGTACGGATATAGATACATAAAGACTGTTCAATCCCCACTGTTCTCAGCAGACCGAACCGACTAATGGACAGTAAATCAATCCCACTGTCGACCTCCTTCACTTCTGTCTTTGCATCATAAAATACACAAGTGCACATACAAGTGCAATAATTGTAACACTGCTGTCTGCAAACACAAAACACTTCCATTCCCATCTCTTATTTCATTTTTATAGCAAAATCTTTGTCTCTTCACTTATTTGTGAGTTTTTTACACTCATGCTTCATGATACTTTCAAGTTCTGAGTCATGCTAGCAGTGTGGCACTAGCAGTACTGGTTGGGTCTAAACAACTATTTGATGGACTGCAATGAAATTTTGTACAAAGATTCATGAGGATGATTCTTACTGACTTTGGTCCCCTGACTTTACCTCTAGCGCCACCAGCAGGTTGACATTCGTGGTTCAGAGTAAAATATCTCTTTGCTACATATATTCGTGGTCCTCAGAGGATAAATCGTAATCACTGTGTCAACAGCAGGTCAATGTTTTCACTTATTCAGTGAAATATCTGAGCATTTACTAATCGGACTGGACTGGCTCAAAATGTGTTGTTACTATTTATACTCACCCAGTTGTGCATAAATAATAATTCTGTGTTTATTTTGAGCTATCTTTGTATTTCAGCTTTGTTGTCCTTGTTTTTAGCTGTATTTCTATCTAGTAAACGTCTGTGTGTAACACTGAGAGCAACTTATAACCAGAGTCAGATTCCTTGTATGCGTTCACATACTTGGCCAATAAAACAGATTCTGATGTTAACATTCTCACATTAGCATTTAGCTCAAATCCCACTGTACCTAAGTACAATAAAGCTATTTTATCTTACACACAGGCAAAGTGGACTATAGCTTAGTACATTTAATCAAATACTGTACTTAATACTACTATACTACTTAACTGTACGTAATCAGTGTGTGAACTATACCATGGCTTTCAGGGGAGCTCACTTTTCCTACTGTAGTGTGGGAGTGGACTGACTATGACCAACAGTATACTGACTACAAATTAATAATGGTCATTCAACACACTGACTGACTGGGACTAGGAAAAGTTTATTTTCTGATCTAAATTTAATGATATTGTGCAGCCAGACTTCAGTGGTATTGGCAAGAATAGCAGTATTTTTAATAAAGGGAATTAGTGATGAATCATCCTCATGCACAAATCTTTCACCAATAGTAAACCCAAGTTTACACATAATCCACGATGATGAAGATATAGAAAAATAGAATTGCACGGCAAAAAAAGCACTTCCAAAATTTCACAAATTCCCTGTACTTTGGACCCTGAGTTACTTGTACTTTACTTGAGTATTTCCACTTTATGCTACTTTATACTTCATTTCGGAGGCAAATATTGTACTTTTTACTCCACTATAGGCTACATTTATTAACAGTTACTTAGAGAGATAGAGATTCATATTATTAATACAAATTTAATAAACTAATAATAATAATAATAATATTGATTATCAATGAAAACAGTGCCAGCAAATATATAAAATAATTAAATTCCCAGTGAGAGACTGTAACAGGCGTCTACATCATCTGCACCCCTGAAACTAATAATAATAACAATAATTGCATTATAGATTAAGCTATCCCAGCAGTATATCAAGTATGAAATAAGCCCCATGGTTTCCAGAATCAGCATTAAAGGGCCATTCTGCATTATTATTTGTTTTGGTACTTAAAGCATATTTACATTGACTTAAGTACGATTTTGAATCCAGGACTATCTACCCCCCCCCGTATATGCGGTACTGTGGTTGAAATAAGGAATATAGTGCAGGCAGGACAGTGCTGACTGGAAGTTGCATTGATGACTTCAATAAAGTTTACGAGGTGCACATGAAGGCAGCAGTAGTTCCTATGGCTATCCTACCTACCCCCCCCCACACACACACACACTCCCCCTCCGTCCCTCCCCCTGTCTCTTTCTCTCTCTCTCTCTCTCTCTCTCCACCCCCTGTTGTCTCTCCCTCCGCCTGCTCTCGCTGCTGCAGTGAATTGGCTGCTGATTCACCGGCAGCGCTGCCTCCCTTCCTCCCTCCCTCCCTCCCTTCAGCAGCTTCACTCTATTTAAATTCACTCAGCTCGTCGCTGTCGGCATCTTCCACCCCGCGTCCGAAGAACTTTAAGCAAAACAAAAACATTCAAGAAACGCCGGATACGGTGTTTTTATGTTTTACCTTAACTCAAGGCTTTTTATTATTATTTAATTTCCCTCCCTGACCATGTCTGCAGAGATGAGACGTAGCAGCACAATTGCGGTAAGTGGGAGAAGAAGGCGAGAGAGAGAGAGAGGGTTTTATGGGGGAGATGTTAAAACGCTTCTCGACTCGTCATTGTTCACCAGCCTGTAGCTCCTCTGCTGTGTGCATGTAAAGAGAAAGTCCTGTTCGTATGAGCTGTGTACCGCCGCCAGTGTGTGTCCATTCATTGAGTTACTGCTTCGACTCGTTGTTGAGTTGCTGTTTTGTCTTGTGTGAAACTTCGAGCACACTTTTTTGGGAAGCATTGTTTTCTTTTTTTTTTTTCTGTGTAAACTTCCTCTAATCGGTCAGGGTATTGTCTTTTGTCTTTACACGTGCACAGGCGTTTTCTCTTTAATGGATATGTTACAGACTTGGCTTGGTTTGTGTGACACCACCTGAAATAAATGAACTAATCAGTCCCTAAACATGGTGGAAGTGGGGGTGGGGGGCGGTTTTTGGTTTCTGCTCGTCTTTTTAAACGGTAAAAACGTGAGCAGCTGGAAGTCCTGTATTTTACTGTTTGTCTATATTTAGCCTGGCTTAATCCTGTCTTATGTAATGTGACAGAAACATGGTACAGACAGCGTGGCTGGCTGTTGTTGTGACTCTATGGGTGATTTTCAAAGTAAAGTTAAATGTGTGTTTTGGGGTAGGGTCAATAAAATGCATCTGCTCTTGAATCTACCCACCTGCAAGGCCACATTTCCCACCTCAGTGACACAGCAAAAGGTAGCTTTCACAGCTTAAAGTGCAGACAATGGGCCTGTTTTAGCTGCATCTAAAATGCTCTAATAATAGGTTATTGTTTCAAGAATCAAAGACAGCTGTATCCTTGCCTCCAAACGCTGAAGTTGTCAAGCTTGTTTCAGGCTGATCTGTGATGCCTTCTGTTCCTCTCTCATCTCTTGTTTTGAGTTTGAGTTTTTTAAAGGATGACAGCAGCTGTGGTGGCTGCCTCATGCAAAAAATCCTAAAAATGCAGTTTTATTGAGTGTCTGTGTGGCGGTTTTCAGTAACCATGCCTCCGTCACCAGGTCCCGATCAAGAACATCGAGAGGGAGCTGATCTGCCCCATCTGTAAGGAGCTCTTCACCCACCCGCTGATCCTGCCATGCCAGCACAGCGTCTGCCACAAGTGTGTCAGAGAGCTGCTGATGCTAAACCATGAGGACTCTTTTGATGCCGGCTCCGAGTGCTCCATGCCGGGCAGCCCCAGGTCCAGGGTGCCCTCCCCCTCCATGGAGAGGCTGGACAGGCTTGTGAGATCAGGTGGGTCTCGGGGTAAGGAACCAAAAACACACTTTGTTTTTTTGTTTTTCAATGTGTTATTTACAGGGAGGATTTTTATTGTGTGCAGCTTAGTGCAGGGTGGTGGATCTCACATTTCTCTGAGGTTAAAAGCATTTCACAACAGCATGCTGAAGCATTAGTAGGAGCAGTGCTCGTGCTACTGTTAGGCCGGCCAGTCAGCCTGATTATGTGAGTTGTTATGTGAGCTGATGGAAGCTAATAATCAGGCGATGGTTACACAGGAAATGAAAGTATTAAATGCATCTTAGGCCATTTGTGATCTTCCAAGTTTTTGTGCCGGTAATGCCAAGTTCCTCCCTTTTTTAGTTCTGCTGTCATCTCTGCATTCAACAGGTTTTAATGGCTGGAGCCTGGGATAATCTCTACAGGAATGACAAAAGACTTAAAAATATTAAAGGGAAATGTTACCAACAGAAACTGAAGGCATGTTTGATTACCTAACAAACAAAAAGGGTAGTGTAACTGTGAAGGGGATTTCCTGAATCAACAAGCAAACCTTTAACTAATGCAAATGTAAGGTTTAGGGGGGCGAATGGAGGACAAAAAAGAGAGCATTATTGTATATCTGGGTTTTAGTGTGGCGCAGATGATACTCCTCCTCCCCGTCTTGTCCTATATAAACAAGAACAAACACAGAAATGATTTAATAATTTTACCGCTCAGCCGTAACATTGTCAGTCATCACGTCTACCTCTAATCCTGTCTGCCTTTACAGGCTTCATTAAAGAGACAGCAGAGGAACTTGACAAGCTGTAGTTTTGTCTACCGGGAGAAAAGAAACGTTGACAAGCTCTCTCAAGCCCTAATTGTCTTCACAGTCTGCTTCTAATGGCCTGGGGGCATCAAACACCCCCTTCAATCATGCAAGGGCACATGCATCCATTAGAAAATATTTCAGGAACAAGGGGAGCAGAGTAGCTATCATTTTCATTCCACCTTTTTAAGCGGATATAGAGGCATATGTGTGTGCTTTTATGTACACGAGTGAACAAAGCACATCTGTAAGCTCCCTTAAGGTATTTTAAACTCTTAAAACCAAGCTGAGGGAAAAGCTGCGGTTGAGGGGGGGTGGCGCAGATAGCTAAGTTAACTTGTCACAATATTTTTATGTTCCTTGCTAAACACATGGCATTGCTGCAGGCGGGCTTGAGCAGGTCAATGTCTAAGCCTTGAAAACGGCTCGGTGGGGCACAAGGCTGCTTTTCTGCCCTCTGAGAGCTCTGGGCTACAGGCCATTTCCATGAAGATGTCGTCTCATTTGTACTCTTGTCCGCTCTCGTTGACAAAACCAGAGTTGTGTCTGACTTCCAGACTACATACTAATACTAAGCAGGTTTTTGTGGGTGGGTGCGTGTGTGGTCAAAATGAAAACATTATGCTAAAAACATTTAATGAGTTTACTGTACGCTTTTATCCATCACTGTAATGCACAAAGGAAATGGAGGTGATACTCGATGATTTTGTGAGATGACTCCAAAAATATCTAAAACAATATAGTATAAAAGTTAAATTCTGTACACTAACATGTATATAATATGTTGGTGTACAAAATACTAACATACATTAACATTTTGTACTAACTGCATAGTATAACAATTAATTTATGGTTCATAAAGTGTATAATTAGTATGGAACTGGGACACAACTCTGGGAGAGTCATTATAAATAGTTACTATATCGCTGCCTTTAGATGCTTTACTGGTGCTTTAAGATTGTATAGCATTTGTAGGTTTGTGCTGAAGATAAACACTTATGCATATTAAGTATATGAGTCCCAAATCCACACTGCACATTTATTCTAAGGAGGTTTTGAAAATGTGGTAAAAAACAGGAAATGTAGGAACTGCTCACAGCTGACAAAAAACCACAATCAATTTTGAACGGTGATAAAACTGCTTCATAAAGTCTTTTTGTGAAGAGTAATTTGCAGTAGCATTCAGTTGCAGTTTGACGTCCAATAGTGGAACGTTAGTATAAACTGTTAAATATGTATTCTTTGGTGAAATTAAACAGTATACCACAAAGGCTAGTATGTAGTTATACACTATGCAGTGTGTAGTATGGATGTGGGCACAGCAAATGATTTCTTTGAGTCAGAATGGTTGACATCAAATGTATATAATAATGGCCAATGCTATATGAAACTGTGGCATTTGGTGTTACCTGGTATCCATTTAACTTAGATGCCAAGTAACCTCAGAGCACTGAGACTCTGAACCAGAGGACCAGAGCTAAAAAGAACCCCAAAGGTACAGTGAGGTGAACAGCTTTTTTCTTCCTTTTTTTGTGGGAGCTATTCATCCATTCATGGTTCAAAACCACTGAGACGGGCTCTCGAACACAGCGTCCCTCATTCAGACTCCCCCCTTCAACCTGAATGAGTTCATTCTTCACTGGCAGGACTGCATCTGTGGACGTAGAAAATAATCAAATCCTGCTTTTGAGTAAACAAATCTCACGTTTCACTGAAAGCCAGTTTGTGCTCAAGGTCTACTCTCCTCTGTTATTTCTGTGTGCTCATTCTGACTGACTGAATTGATGCAATGTTTTGAATTGATTTTAAAATGAATTTTCTTTTCACAGATAATTTAGCAGCATCTTTTCATAAATAAACTGTTAATTTAGTCAACATGAAACTACTCCACAGGTTACGTACATGTGGAATTCCCTTGGGGATTATTCAATGAGGTTGTTCCTGCGTTAAGTGCATTTAATCATCAGATTATATAATTATGTGTGTTTAACAATATTTAGGAAACCTCAAAGTACGTTATGAGCATATTAGCTCCCACACAGAACAACGGAGTAATTCTGCACCGCCTCCGACACTGGAAGAACAGATCATTGGTCACCATGGTGACGCAACCTGCCTGTAAGGAATGAATGAGGGATTAGATGAGGGGAGAGAGAAAGAAAAGACTTAAGGCTATATTTATCGGTGTGCAGCTTGGACAAGCCTTTGCTGGGCTTGGACAGACTTCATCAGCATTGTTTCTCAACTTCATTTTATTTTGTGTTACTGGGGCTCAAACAGAGCATGACGCATTTATGTTCAACAGTTAATTCTTGCCAAGTGCACTTTTTAAAGTTGGTGTAAGTAAGTGTAAAAGAAATAGTTTGACATGTTGGAAAATATTCTCATTCAGGGTAATTATTTTTTTGTGCCAGCAGTTGTACACTAGATATTAAGCTACAGCCAGAAGACGCTTAGCTTAGCTTAGCATAAAGACGGGAAGTCTAGTCCTCCTCAGTTACTGTTGCTATGCCTGTCAAGCTCACATGGCATAATAATAATAATAATAATAATAATAATATCGTTTACGATGATAACGGTGTCAGATTTAACTACCACCTGAAATTTGGAGTAACATTTAAAACCATGAGTTCTTAATTAAAGACAGAAGTAGAAAAATCAAGCCTCTCATTTCTAACTGCTGACCATGTGTTTGTTTGTTTGTTTTTTCTAGCTGAAATGACAACAATCACTGGCAAATTGTATCCGCTTAATTCATAATAGCTAGTTAGCTAGTTAATTTTAAATGGTTAAAAAACAGTCTCCAGATGGTGTTTTAATCTTTCATTTTAAAACAGGAATCCTGTAAAATTGACCTTTTTTCACAACAGCCTTTTTGACCTGAAATAGTAGGGTAAACACAGGTATTACCAATGACACTGATTAAGGTTGCGTTCCATTTAGTGTAGCAGAGCCTTTCCAGTGAGTCAACATGAACAATAAGCAGCACCCTGTCTCTGTTTGACCGGACTAGAACAGAACTTTAGTTAGTATCATTGGTAACGCCTATGTTTACCCTACTATTTCATGTGAAAAAGGTCTATTGTCTTAAATACGCACTCAATGGCTATATAGGCTAGCAGATATTAGATTAAAGACGAGGCTAAAGCTGCCTGTTAAAGGGGAGGGGTTTAGTTAGGCCTCAATGAACTCAATATCTAGTTTATATGTACAAAAAGTGAAGTGTAAAAGGCTGGTAGTAGTTTAGTAGTGCTGGTGTTTTTACCTTTCAGACAGAGCTAAACTAGATGTTTTCCTGTGTTTCCAGTCTTAATGCTAATTGAGATAAGCTAACCATCCCCTGGGACTAAATTAGCTTCATACATAGCACTCATGAGTTCTTCTCATCTAACTCACAGCAAGAAAGCGAGTAAACACATTTCCCAAAATGACAAACTATTCCTTTGTTAATGCAAATTATTGACCAGAGTCTGAAAGAAGATTTGATTATGAGTACACTTTATAAAATTTTCCAAAAGCAGTTGTCAAATTCAGTTTTGTTGCATTGATTTGTCCTCAGATATAGACCACGCAGTGCATAGATCAAGAGTTAACTGTACTTTTACTAACTGTTCACATCCTGTATGTATTTTTAAACGCTGTTTGTATTTCACACTGAACTGCATTTTTTTTCCCTTTTTTTTTTTTTTTTAAAGTTGTTTTTGTTTCTCTAATGTCATGATGTTTTTAAAAAAAAAAAAAAAAACTGTTTTCACACGTCACTTCACGTTATGTATTGTTTCATTTTTCTTGTTGGTCTCACCTCACTTCTTTGTTCATTGCTTGCAGCCACAGTGCGAAGGTCGTTTGGAAGTCGAGGTAGACGCGGGCTCCGTGTTTTGACTAGCGGTAGTAGTGAGTACAGTGTTACTAGAACCCCTGTGAAACCCTAGTTTGGTTCTACCTTTCCTCTACTTAAGACCTTTCAACACGACCATACAAAACTCACACCACTGAAATAGAATTAGTGCATTTAATGTTGTAAACGCACGTTCTAGACACTTAATGCCACATAGTAGGAGTTGACATTAAAAGGCATATGTGTCTTAAAAAATGTCCACTGAGCATAAATGTGATTCTAATCTTTGGATCCAGATTAACAATTAACAGAGTGAATGCAAATGAAACAGTGGAAACCTTAAAGCGATGAGGAGAATTGAAGGGAGGTCGAGTCTTTGACAGGGAGGTTGGCAAGTGACAAAAAGGAACTGAAAGGAGCACAGACTGAAATGAGTGAGAAAGGGGTGAGGATGTTTCCTAGGAGTTGAAGTGGGACTGGAATGTGTGTGTGTGTATGTGTGTGTGTCTGTACACTAGCTAAGCTCTGCATTCATTTCGTAAAAACATGGTGGCAAGTAAAGCCGCTTTATTGAGCTGGAAAAACTGTTAGTCTCTGTTGTTTCTGAGTTAAAAAAACACACACACACACACACACACTCTGAGTGAAAATGTACAATATGTTTGGACTTGCTAAGATTCTTAACTGGCTTTTACTGACTGTTATCTGTGTGCCTTTAGGGTGCTGTGTATGCTTCACTTGACAGTCATTAGTGTTGAGAAACAGTTTATAAGAACACAGACCTGTCTCAGCCTACCTCTAATCATTTTGGAATGATGAATTGAGAAGTGTCAGATTGCTGGCCAAGTTAAACAAGACTCCATGCTTGTTTCATTGGCCAACTAATGCAGTTATTAGACACGCTCAGTGGATGGTTTTTAAGAAGAAAATGCTGTTCTCTTCTGTGTTTGAAGAGATTTCTTTTTCTCTCTATCAGTTTCCCCCAAAAGAAGAGGCAATAATATGAGCTACCTGGACATAAAACAGTAGCAGCAAACAATTAAGATGTGGTGTCATCAATAGATAAGTTTAATCCTCAAAAGGAAAATAATAAGTAAATTCCAACCTTAAGTTATTTTACTTCAGCTTTTTACAGAATGGATTATTGTCATATTCAGATTATATATTTGGATAAAAGAATAAGACATTTCCAGGATTAATTTTTATACAAATGAGTCATACAAATCAAGCAGCAGACAGAACAAAACGTCAACACAAAATTTACATTCAACAATCCTACATAAGCAAATTTCTATTTGCATTAGAAATAAGAAATGAAATGAGAAACTGTCCCTGCCTGGATACAATTAAACTTTGTCTTGGTCGTCACTGGCAAACATAAAAATGCTACATCAGTTCAAGCAACTGTGTGTGTGTGTGTGTGTGTGTGTGTATAGACTTGTGCAGGGGGAAAAACTGCGATGACTCGTCAGTTTCTGCCCACGACTCTGCAGATCCACAAATCAATACACAAACACACACGTACACACTTTGCTGCAGGCTCCTCCCGTCTGCTTCTTGTTCGCTCACACCTGCTCTCCTGACCAAGTGCGCAGTGCCCCAACACGCACACATTGAGGTTTATGCTGTGCACATGAATAGATTCACACACGCACACACGCAAGCACCCGACTGTCTTTTACAGGGTTAGAAACTGCTGCATCATTCATTAGTTTAAATGCGATGGCTTTCTGCCAGATTATTACTTTCATCCAATTACTTGTCTTAACAAGACCATGTCACCTTCATCACCATCATCAGACTAAGTTTCTCATCATAGCATCGCACCACAATGTTTAGTTCAACTCTGTCTCAGGAATTCAGGTAGGAAGGGGAATCGACGTGTGGTAAACAAAGCTCAGTAGTTCAGTTCAATGGTCAGATCACAAACAGAGTTAGCCTCCAGGCAGTGAACTGTCCTGTCACTGTCATGGTCTTCAGTTCTGCTCATGTCACACGGCATGCACATGGCTCTACATATCACACAGTTTATATGTTTGCTGTTCTGCCACTGCTTTTCCCAGCTGCACCTTTATTTTTGTTTTTTTCCTTTTGGCAAAAGTGTTGTCTTTAAATAGTTCTCCTGTATTTCGCTTACCTGAGGAGTGTTTGATTTAATTTCCAGGTCCTCGGAAACGAAGTGGAAATTCTGGCTTGAAAACTGAGATAAATCCAGCACTCCTTGCTTCCCCTGTCCCCCAAAAACGTGAAGCAGTATTCTTGTCATTTATTTTGCTGTGTAGTGACTTCAGTTTGCTGGCTTCCTTTTTGAGTGTGTGTGTGTTTTTTTTTTGCTTGCGTCTGTGATGTGACATTGTGTAACAATTCCCTTCTTTCCACCTCATGTTACTGTGTTGCTGTCTTGTTACGATGCTGCTGCATCAGTAACAAGCACAATATTGTGAGAAACTCTTGAAAGCATTGCTTTAAGAGGAGTTTTGTTGTGGTGAATATAAGTGTTGATGCATTGACTGGACATGTGATTTTAAAGTTGAACTGCAGGACATTTTTTTTATTTAAAGCTTTGCTTATGTTCTGCTTCAGTGTTAGTGACTTGATTTCCAGAATAGTAGTTTGTCATATTTTTATTATCTTGAGCGCAAATTTTTAGGAAAATTATTTTTTTTTGTCCAGATCATTGTGAGCACTTAATTAGTCTCTTAAATATTGACTGACTTGCATTGTAAAGTTGATTTATCATACAGTGTACTCTCTTGAAGCACAAAGGATGCCATCCTTCCCATGACTATCCCGTATCTCATCTCTCTCCAGTCTACCCCAGTACTCTTGGAAAGTCTCTCTTCCTGGACTTATTTCCCTGTATGACAACTGCTCAATAAACTGCCTGTATTGATGTTTTGCTCCATACATTCATGTCTTTATGGAGTAGTGGTCATTGTGGAAATAAAGCACAAAGGGAGACATACTGAGGCCCTATTTGTGAAGGCATTATCAACTATCAACGGCATTTTTGCCATAAGGTCATACTTGGCACGTTATATGATGATGTAATGCTGCTTTTGTGACTCAAGGCCCAGAATCTGTTGAGCACAAATGGGGGGTTCACATTTTTCAAAGCCCTTATTTGACTCTTGGAAACTATCCATTCAGTGTAATTTGAAGTTTAAAGGTCAGTGTTGTTCATGTGTCAAAATAGGGCCTCAAACAAGAGTGGAAACTGGGTGACCCAAAGCTATGAATCCAAATTACCCACGATCTTTTCTCACTTGTTCACCTCCCGCTCTCCTCCAGGCTCCATCTCGTCCCCGGGGTGGCGCAGAGGATCTGTGACTCCTCGGGTCACCACTATTCCGTGCCCCGGCTGCCAGCACGACATCGACCTCGGCGAGCGCGGCATCAGCATGTTGTTCCGTAACTTCACCCTGGAGAGCATCGTTGAGCGCTACCGCCAGGCTGCCCGCGCAGCTGTCGCCATCATGTGCAACATCTGTAAGCCTCCACAGCAGCAGGAGGCCACAAAGAGCTGTATGGACTGCAAGGCTAGCTACTGTAATGAGTGCTTCAAGCTGCACCACCCCTGGGGCACGCCCAAAGCTCAGCACGAGTATGTTGGCCCCACCACGAATTTTAGGCCCAAGGCAAGTACCGTCACTGCCAGGGGAAGGCTTTATATTAGTTCTTTGTGTCATTGTCATTCAATTGGACTATGGACATATCTCATGAGATAAACTTGAGTATTGTACTAGCTTGTATAGATTGTATAGCCTTTAAATGGTTAAATATTGGTAATCAGATGACAGAAAAGAAGAGTGACTGCAAGCAGCTGCAAACCAGTTACTGTCTGGTTTTCCTGATCATTGATTGCTTGTCAGGAATGTCTCTCATTCTTCATTCATTTGGGCTTCTGAATAGATTTAATGTAATCAGACTATGTGAGGAGTTTAATTTATTATATGTCATGCTTTTCTTTTTTTCTTCTATGACTCTGATTCATTGACCTTAAAATATTTTCAAACTGAAGTCTGTTGGAAACATGACTTACTGGCTTTGTCAATACATTGCTCTGCTCTTTCCAATCCCTTTTTATTGGTCTGAAAGCTGCCTCGAATAAATTCTAATGAGGATCTTGCCATTTAAAAAGTGCTGATTTAAATTCTATTTTCAGACACATCAGGAAATGTCTCACAGAAAGCTGTCTGGATGCTCTTTGAGTTTAGGCCATCTTCCTGTTTCACTTCAGTAATTTTTGATCATTGTAGAATTTAAAAGGCTGTTACATGTGTATTTAGTCTGTAATTTTAACTGATTCTGTTTATATGTTGCAGGTGCTCATGTGTCCAGAGCATGAGATGGAGAAGGTGAACATGTACTGTGAGGTCTGCAGACGACCCGTGTGTCACTTGTGTAAGCTGGGAGGATCCCACGCCAACCACAAAGTCACCACAATGAGCAGTGCCTACAAGATCCTCAAGGTACCACAGTCAGACACTGAAACTGACAACAGATAGGTTGGCTACTTGTGAGGGGGGGTGTCGATTTGAATACACTGGAATTAGTTTTGTTGTTATCTGTGATGACAAAGAAGTAACACAGTACAAGCTTATGATAATGAGGGTTAAACAGAGTTTGCACACAATGCCACTGTTAAAGGCTTGAAATTCGGGAAAAGCGGCCTTAGAACTTGGAATTATTGATGTTTTTACACTATTTTGTGATGATATTTAGCAATTAAATATCGTCATCAATTAAATTCATATCATGCGAAACTGCCTCTTTTAGAATATCTGATTTAATATCTTAAGTTTACATAAAGAATCCATTCAAGGTAGATTTACGTAACTGCATTTAATAAGCTGAAACTGAGTAAAAGCCTTTCGATGAGTAATATCTTTCCATTCGGTGGGATTAGAGCTCAGTCATTGCTAAACTATTCAACAAAAAACCTTAAGAGCAGGGTTTTTGTTGTGCTACGCACCATCCACTTCCTGGTCCCCGAACCTCTCATCTCCTGCTGCAATATTAATGCCTGACCGGTACCTGTGCTGGCATGCAACAGGCTGTAGATATCAATCTCTTTTGTTTGGGAACTGAAACCCTAACTGGGTTAAAGCGAATTGGTATCACGTGCGGTCATCAGATTTTATTTGCCACTCAGTAGAATTAATCAGTTTGAGTGTTTGGTTTAGCTTATGTGGAGACAGAAATGTCTGGAGATTGGGTTTTAGGGCTGTTTGGTTGCTATGGCAGCACAGAAGAACGTCGAGCCTTTAACAGGATAGGTGTTAAGTGAAATATGTTGATGGTAATTGAATCAGTTTAGTGGACTTGATGGTAGGTGGTTCAGCAAGTTGAGGCAGAATCTGTGTGAAATTCAATCTGCTGGTCTGTGTTGACACAAACAGCACAGTGCTTAATATTTAATGAGACCATTTGTTCCCCACGATTTTGTGTGTATTGTGTTTTTCAAATTGTCAATAGATGTATCAGATTTCCTGAACACTCCTGGAGGCCTTTGTCAGCCAGGAAGTAGTGTGGGTTTCAGTTGCTTTGAACAGTACTGCACTGTCATATCATTGTGATACTATAATGAATGTTGTTTGACATGCTGCAACCACTGAAACAGGCTCTCACGCTGCGTCACACAGGGTCATACCGGACACTGCACACGTCCACAACTTTAATCAATCAGGAAATATTCACAACAGCAGCTACAAGCTAAAGTAACACGAGAGCTGATGCTTGGGAATGTGAGCACATGAGTGGACATTCATAAATCCCACTCTGTTCCTTTTTTTTAAAATGGAGCGTATTTGAATGAAGTTTTGTATGTAATGCAGTGTTAAGGGCAGATTTCTCTTCTGTAACAGTTGCATCTGATTATCCGTTGTTGTGGATGTGCTTCAGTGTTTCAAGAGCTTATGAAACTCACTTCATATGCTGCTGGTCTTTTCTCTCACCAGGAGAAGCTGGCTAAGAGTATCCATTACCTCATCAGCAAGGAGGACCAGGTCAGGACTCAGATTACAGGCCTTGATCTGCTCATCAGTCAGACCGAGGTGAGAGAGAGAGAGAGAGAGCTGACTCACGCTGCTGCAACTCAAACATCCTTTTCCACTCTACTCCCCAAAATTTGTTTTTGTTTATTTTCAGATCTTTTTATTCATTTTGTTTTCCTTTTTTTATTTTTATTTTCCAAAAGATGGTTTCTCTTTACTATTGACATTCGTAAGCATTGAACTCCACAGGTAAAAGGAATTGATTCGGTGTCTCTTCAAGCCATTTTCTTAAGTGGAGACATTTAAAACTGAAAATATTCAAGTGATTATTTATGTTCCTTTATCTGCTTTAATTTTCTAATTTAAGATCGATCCCTTCTGGTCTTTAACGCCCTCTACTCCTCCTTCTCCTCCTCCTCCAAGAGGATTCTTCTAAATTGTATTAACAGTTTTCTTTTCTTTCTTACACTCTTGAAATATAGTTGATTTGTTAGAAACCAGTAACCATAATGAGCAAATGATATATTTGAATTCCTTCACTTACACAGTACAAATATTTATACAGCTTTCACAAAACCCGTCTGTTAAGTTGAGGATTACACATTCTGTTTACGAATAAGGAAGGGTCACTAAACAAACAGTATGCAAATACAGCAAACGAGGAAACGCAGGATTTGCCTACCAGTTTCTTTCATGCATGTCTGAGTTTTGGCCTCTAAGCTTCTTCCCCTTTTTACTATAATGCTGGTCCTAAATGGGTAGTGTTCGAATACACCTACGCACGCATGTGTGTGACTGATATGTTAAGGACACTTTCTTTTTTTAAACACTTTTCTATGTCCATTAATCTTTCTCTCTATATACTTAAGCTGTGTAATGTGAACTTTTAAGCTCCTACTTTAATGAGGATTACCTGAAAATAGGGTTGACATGCAGTATATCCTAAAGCATTTAACTGTATTTACATCCACCTTCTGTCAAACCGAAGTTTTCAATCCTACAAATCAAATCAGGTCGATTAATCTGATTCAGTGCTCTGGACCTTCTGAAGAAATGCTAATGGTATATGTGTATGTTTGGGAAGAGATCTATGAAAGTAACGTTGTATTTACTTTGTACAAACGGCAAAATTATTTCCTCCTTTTCTTAAAGGAAAATGGTCAGCTAGCAGAGCGTCAAGCCA